CATAATGCTGAGTGTGTACTAAGAAATCACTAGACAAGAAAATGTGACCCCCTATTGAGGCAAAATGCAGTCGATAAAACTTGACTGTGATGTTAAAATTAGCAGCTAAGAGTTTTAAGTCAGCTATTTTAAGTAGCTTATAAGAAAATATATGCATAATTAATAAATCAATGAGGAGCATCTCAGCAGAGAAACAGTAAGGGTAAAAGGAACCAAATGGAAATTGTACATATGAAAAATACGGTAACTGGAAGAAAAGTTTACTGGATGAGTCCAACAGCAGAGTGAAAATAAATTATACAAATTGTTGAATATGAAAGATAAAACTGAAGAAAAAATAGAGCCTTAGAGATGTGCAGACAATATCAGGAAATCTAATAATATTTTTTAGAATTCTAGAAGGGCTGAAGAAAGCTAACAACAAATCTGTAGAAGAAATGACCAAAATCTTTCTAAATTAGATTTAAAAATAAAGCTAAAATCATAAAATTACAGATCCAAAAACCTCAACGAACCTCAAGCAGGATTAATACAAAGAAAATCAAGCTTAGTAGGATATCAAGGTCAAACGGCTGAAATTAAAAAATAACACAAAGGGTGGGTGTCATGGCACAGCAAGTTAAACCAACACTTGGGAAGCCTGTACCTTGTATTGGACTACCCAAGATCAAGTCTCATTTCTGCTTCTGATCCAGCTTCTTAATGAGCCTGGGAAGCAGCAGATGATGACTCAAGTACTTAGATTCCTGTCACAAACGTGGAAGATGTGGATGGAGTTCCAGGTTCCTAGCTTTGGCCCCTGGCTTTTGTGGCCATGTCACTCTGCTTTTCAAATAAATAAGAAACACAATCAGAGAAAAAACATTAAATACAGGAGAACAACACAAATGACAGCTGATGTCTCATTAGGAACAATGAAGGTCAAAAGACGATAAATGCTTTTGAAGTATTACATGAAAAAACAATCTAGAATTCTACATTAGTGAAACTATTCTTCAAAGTTGAAAGTGATATAGAGTCATTTTCAATGAACAAAAACTTAGATAATTTGTCACCAGCAAGGCTGCACAACAATTCTCAAGGAAATCCTCTCAGCTGGCAAAGAATGCCACCAGATGTCACTCAGACCCACAGGAAGAGCACTGGAATGGTAAATATTTGGCAAGCATAAAAGACAATAAATACTTTTTTTCTCTTTTAATGGTTTAAGAGACATATACCTGTTTTAAGTGAAAATTACAGCCTGTACTTTTGGGTTTATTGCGTTTATAACTGTACTAATATGTAAGAAACAAGGGTGAATGGAACTCTCCTGCTGCCACATTCTATATTTTATATGAAATTATACAGTATTACCCCAAATAGATTATACTAAGTTAAAGATGCATGTTGTAATTCTTAGAACCATTAAAATAAACAGGGTATAGCTCTTCCGGTCTTTTTGGTCTCGGCTGCAGAAGCGAGATGACGAAGGGGACGTCATCGTTTGGAAAGCGTCGCAACAAGACGCACACGCTGTGCCGCCGCTGCGGCTCTAAGGCCTACCACCTTCAGAAGTCGACCTGTGGCAAATGTGGCTACCCTGCCAAGCGCAAGAGAAAGTAGTTATGGAGTGCCAAGGCTAAAAGACGAAATACCACTGGGACTGGTCGGATGAGGCACCTAAAAATTGTATACCGCAGATTCAGGCATGGATTCCGTGAAGGAACAACACCTAAACCCAAGAGGGCAGCTGTTGCAGCATCCAGTTCATCTTGAGAATTTCAACAATTAGTCAAGCAATAAATGTTCTGGTTACAAAAAAAAAACAAAAAAAAACACACAAAAAAAACAGGGTATAGCTTATAAACCAACAGAAAATTAAAACAAAATACTGAAAATATTCAACTAACCTAAAAAAAGGCAAGGAGAAAAAAAAAACAAATATTGAACTAAATCCAAATACATGAAAATCATATTAAATCTAAATTTACTAAACATAGTAAATAAAAGACAGAAATCATTATAATTAAAAAGCAAGACCCGGGCCGGCGCCGCGGCTCACTAGGCTAATCCTCCGCCTAGCGGCGCCGGCACACCGGGTTCTAGTCCCGGTCGGGGCGCCGGATTCTGTCCCGGTTGCCCCTCTTCCAGGCCAGCCCTCTGCTGTGGCCAGGGAGTGCAGTGGAGGATGGCCCAGGTGCTTGGGCCCTGCACCCCATGGGAGGCCAGGAAAAGCACCTGGCTCCTGGCTCCTGCCATCGGATCAGCGCGGTGCGCTGGCCGCAGCGCGCCAGCCGTGGCGGCCATTGGAGGGTGAACCAACGGCAAAGGAAGACCTTTCTCTCTGTCTCTCTCTCTCACTGTCCACTCTGCCTGTCAAAAAAAAAAAAAAAAAAGCAAGACCCTATTATATAGCAGGAGATAAACTTTTAAAAAATAGTAATGTATTTATTTGAAAGCTGGAGTTAGAGAGAGAAGAGAGGGAGAGAGAGAGGTTTCTTCCATCCACTGGTTCACTTCCCAAATGGCTGCAAGTACTGGGGTTGGGCTAGGCTAAAGCCAGGAGCTAGAAGCTTCATCCAGGTCTCCTACGTGGGTCATCTTCTACTGCTTTCCCAGGCACATTATCAGGGAGCTGGATTGGAGCAGATGGCACCCACTGAGCCACAGAGCAGACCCCGGGAGATGAACTTTTAACACAATACACTAATAGTTAAAAGTAAAGTTGGGGCCAGTGCTGTGGCATAGTGGGTAATCCCATATGAGCTGATTTGAGTGCTTGATGTTCCACTTCTGATCCAGTTCTCTGCTACGGTTTGGGAAAACAGTAGAAGATGGCCCAAGTCTTTTGGGCCCCTGTACCAGTGTGGGAGACCTAGAAGCTCCTGGCTCTGGAGCTCTGGTTTCCAATTGGTCCAGCTCTAGCTGTTGTGGCCATCTGGGGAGTAAACCAGCTGATGGGAGACTTCTCTCTCTGTAATTCTGCCTTTCAAATAAATAAAATTTCAAAAAAAGTAAAAGTTATGCCATATAAATAAGCATAGAAATAATTTCCGTTTGCTTTGGTATGAATACTTTTTTACATTTACCTTTTCAACCAAATTTACCTGGTTTTAAATGATTTACATTTATATCAACCAGGATCTGTAACATTAGGAGAAAAATACAATGAGACAATTTAGAGGGACTTTCTTTTAAACTTCTTGGTTCTATCGACCCCTCAGCTTCCTTAGAAATGATTTGTAATGGCTCCTTTTCTCACCCTTCTAGTGATTGATGCAACACCTTAACATGGGCAGGTTTTCAGTTATTTGCTTGTCTCCTTTATCAGTACTAAAGCAAAATTTTCAGCTACTGATCTAGCACTTGGAACCAGTCATGATTTTTACTTTTGTTTGTTTTATGTATTTGAAAAGCAGAGCTAAGAGACTTTGGAGACAACTTTCCCAACCACTGGTTCACTCCCCAAATGCCTACAACAGCCAGGGCTAGGACTCTGATGCCCTAGGTAACATCTTTTTTTTTTTTTTTTTTTTTTGACAGGCAGAGTGGACAGTGAGAGAGAGAGACAGAGAGAAAGGTCTTCCTTTGCCGTTGGTTCACCCTCCAATGGCCGCCACAGCCGGTGCACCGCGCTGATCTGATGGCAGGAGCCAGGTGCTTCTCCTGGTCTCCCATGCGGGTGCAGGGCCCAAGGACTTGGGCCATCCTCCACTGCACTCCCTGGCCACAGCAGAGAGCTGGCCTGGAAGAGGGGCAACCGGGACAGAATCCGGTGCCCCAACCGGGACTAGAACCCGGTATGCCGGCGCCGCTAGGCGGAGGATTAGCCTAGTGAGCCGCGGCGCCGGCCTCCTAGGTAACATCTTAACTGCTGCTGCAAATGTTCTACCTAGCTAAAGATTTTTAACCGCCTTTAATTTGCATTGCTTGTTCCTTTTATTTACTAGCATATCTTTTTTTTGGATTCTGTCTATTTCTGGAAACTTCAGAGCTGGGACTGCCTGGGCTAAGCTGTGCTTTTTCAACCAGCCCGCCATCAGGTACGACACCATACATGTCCTCACTTTTCTTAAACCTCTTGGTTGTCACTGTCAGTTTTGCACTTTAAAAAGTCTCCATCACTTTCTCTAGTAGGGGCTTTCGAAAAATAGGGTTGAAAAATCAAACTTACATTTGGTAAACAAAGAATTTTCTGCATTTTTAGACAAGACTGAAGCATGATGCTACCTCAAACTTAGACAATTCATAGCTGGGGCAGGGCTTGAAAGAACACGACTGTAACAACAAAGAAACTTCATACTAAGCAGGACTACAAAGAATGGTTTTGTGGCATGTGACAAATCTGCTCAACCATTTAAGTGAAAGGAACACTATCCATTCCCTTCTGGCCATCCAGGCTTTATAAATAATCGTCTGTCCCAACAAACTCCACTTCACGGTGACCTTGGAAAAGATGTTTCTAAAAAAACTAATAATCCAAAAATAAACAGAACCCTATTGTTTATTTCATCACTTAAAACATGTTTGAAGATGTTTTAAAAAGTGATTTCTCTACATATGAATGTTTCTTGAATGCAAAGGCCTCACCTACTTCTGAACAAACATCATTCTAAAGGGCATTGTGGAAGAGTGATATTGCTCAGACTGCTTGGGTTGTTTACTTCTGAAAACTTAAACCATAACCAGTTGCTTTAAGACTTTTACATGTACTATGTTTAAAATACGCAGGAAAGATTACCAAGGATGTGAGTGATTCACTGAACAGATGAAACAATTAATTTTAACTTGTGCCATTTAGTTTGAAGCATATTTAAAGGCCTGCTACATCTCCTATCAAGAGTAAATATCACACATCCTGCTTCTGTATACTGGCTTGTTGTCCACAGTTCTTCAAAGTGTGGTGACAGCCCCCTAACTCACACCCCACCCTACCCCCAGCTTCCTGCTCCTTGGGTGCTATATTCCTTCTTTTTTTAAGAAGTGCCTCCCTTAACAAAATACTCTGCATTACAGTATCTTTTAAAGAAAATACTTTATTACATCATGAAAAAAAGGGCATCAATCAACTAGATTCATACTTGTTTGAAAAAAAATTGAAAATTTATTAAGACAGTATATGGGCATCCTGTTCCACATGGGAATGAGAAGATGCTATAGGTTCTCTAAGTATTGCACAGTCTGAAAAAAAAAAAAACAAACACAAAAGGGAAAGGGGAGAAAAAAAAAATCACATGATGTTGGGAACCATCTCACATTATGAATAATCTACCAAGAAACATTTAAAGAAGAAAATCCTGTTTCTACAGTAGCTTTGAATTTATAGTTCTTGGAATGACTGTATTCCATTGAAGACATTTCAGTAACAGGAAGCTGCATTTTAGCAATCCCATGTGCAAATATTAATAAAAAAATATATAAAATAATGCAATTCATCTCTTGCCATCACCCCGGCAATCATGACATTTTTGAGAACTATTTTACTGGAAAAAGGGTTAAGCCGTAAGTTTTGCCTGAAGCTCCATCTCTGCAGCCCTTTTGAGTGCAACATCCACTAGAAGCTGAAATCCACTGAAATCCTGGTTGAGGTCCGGCGGAGTTGGGGGAGGAGTGTTGAAAAGACCACTCTGTGTATTTGTACTTGGTCCAGATTTACATGTGTCCTCTGGGTACACAAGAGAGGCGTCTGTAAAGCTGCTGGCTGCTATCTGCTGTATATCTGTGTTGTGTCCCACACCGACTGACTGGCAAAGAGAGAAAGGCACATCTTTCAGCGCAGTCACAGTGGTATGGCAGATCACCGATGGACGAGCCAAAATTGATCCTGGGGATGGTGGCTTCGGAGACAGTGGCCTCCCTAGGATTGGGTTTGGTCCAGCTGTACAGGAATGGAATGGGCTCTCCTCAAGAGCTGGCATGAAGTTTTTGATGCTCACTGCAGACTCCATAGAGCCAGCTTCAGAAATCTTGGCCCCACGGCGGGATATTGTGAACTGGTTTGGATCTTTGCCATCCTTTCTCAGCATGTCAGGGAGGAGCCTGCGTCGGGCGTTGATGAACCAGTTACAGACCTGAAATTACATCAGTATGCTTAAACATTTCCCTTATTCACTTGGCAAACAGGTTCTGGGGACATTTCTCTTCTCAGAGTGCCTAACTGATCTCCGTTTGTATTAAAGGTGGCATAGGAAGGCCTGTTTGGACTTAGCAAGCTATTTCAAGTTATGTGAGCCCAACCAAGAAACAGAGCTGCCTCCCACCAGAAACTTCTCCTCCTCTAATACTAAATTTGCTTAAATTTTTTCAGAAGAAAGAAAAGGTTTTAAAACCTCAAATACCTGAAAATGAGTTGAGAGAGAAAGGTTTACCTTTTAAATTCTCTCCATTTTAACCTATTACCTACTGCCCCAGCATTTAAGTTAATCAACTACAGGAAAACCTTTCCTGTATGAAAAGTGCCACTCCTCCCAGTAACTGATTTTTCTCAGTTCAAATGACTGTGTCAACAGGCACAACATGAATTACCTCACTGAAGTCTGCCCTTGTTTAAATATCAAACCAGTTTCCTGGGCAGTAGAGTAAGGTTTAACCTCCTTTTTATGTTTGTTGCATAAAGGAGGGCTCCTTTAGGCATTAAAGGAAATGCCACTTGACAGATGACTGTCAAGTGTTTCTGTGTGCTCTGAATAGCCAGTTATTAGCTGTTAGTACTATAAAGTTTACAATAAAAAGATATTCCTTCTTTTTTTTGAGCGGGGAGGAACTTGATGACTTGACACACAGGATGAGGAATGCTGTGAAATGACTTTGGAAATAAAGAGGCATGCCGAAACCTCGTGCTCTTTCCTTACCTGTAGCGTAGACAGGTGTGTTTGCTGGGACAGCAAGGCTTTTTCTTGCTCTGAGGGATAGGCATTGTATCGGTGCTCATACAGCCAGTCTCGGAGAATCTGAACAGACTCCTTGGGCAGGTTGCCCCTCCTCCTCCTCTTGCCTGAACCAGCCGAAGAGGAGAGGTCCAGAGGAATGTCCATGCTGTCCTCATCCTCGGTCTCACTGCCGGACGCTACCATGACACCTACGAAGAGACCAAGGCCAACTGTCAGTCACTTGGACCAGCAAGGCCCCTCTATCTTGCCATGCTCATTTGTTCTGCCCACTCAGTGTGACTCAACTGGATTTTCTCCACCACTGTGAGGGAGGCAGGGTGTTTTCTGTTCAGAACTCCCAGGGCCCACTAGCGGCAGCACAAGGTAGATTCTCAACCAACTGTCAGATGCCCTTTCTCAGCTACTTTCCTTTAGGATTTCACTTCTCACATTCCTTTTGAATGATGCTCAGAGTCATCAGTTTGACTCCAAGAGAAAAACTTCACTGAAAAAGTCAATAGCCTGCACACATTGGAAACAGAAAGGGGGCTGTGTCCGTCGCAATGTGCCTAGTGATCTTCTCCAAGGTCACTGGGAGCTGGGAAAAACAACCCAGTGAGTGTCCTAATGCACATTTTACACGTTATTCTTCCTCCAGCTTCCAGCGAAGATTTAAAATAAAAGGGAGGGTTTGTACATTATCTTCACTGATAAGAACAGACCTCCATGGTCTTTTCTTATTCATTGCTTATCTACTTGTCACCTTTTTAAAAAATACCACTTAAGTTTTCAGTTTCATCACACACAAATATTTTTCTACTATAGGTACTTTATTACATATCAATTAGCACAGTTCAGTCTTAAATTATTCCATGACAAAGAAAACTGAATATGCAACTTACTCCCAAAGGAAGTTCTTTTGGCTCTAAGTACTTTAATCCCATCAGAAATTTTAAGAATTCACAAACCATAGGGAATATGCAAATCATAGACTGGGTTCAATAAAAATTCAGACCTGATCTTTACAGACATTTGAACCTAATTTTGAACTACAAAAAACTTTTAAATAAGAAATGCTACAACCGCCTGTTTTGAATGACTAAAGAACATTCTTTTATGAAGATCTAGAATTTAAAAAATAAAAATGACAAACTATAGCATGCATGAAAATAGCAATATTTCTGGAGAATTTAACACAAAAATGTTTAAGGATTTTTTTAATTGACTCAGACTTTTACTCAGTGACACATTTTTTAGTTTTGGACTGCAGGGGGCAGAAGGTGCTGGAGGGCGTTCCTACAGGAAAGGCAGAACCCTCCAGAGACAAAGTAAAGCAAGTTCTAACAAAAGAGGTGGATGATCTTGCAAATTCACTTCAGGCCAAGGCTTAACAAACAGCCATAAATAAACCACACAAGAATCCCAACTTTAAACGGCCATGCATTTGAAGTTTCCCTTCCCTGAGGATTTAATTAAACTTAAGAAAAAAGTTTAAAAGGGCACACTGAAAACTGAAACTGCTTTCACTATTGAGAAGTTGAGTAACTTTCAAACGCACACTGAAATTTGGGTAAAGGACTATGAATAAAAAAAAATCTAAGAAATTATAAATGAGTTCCTGTTTCACATTTGCTTTGATAATTAAGGAAATTTAACCTCTAAAGTATGCATTCAGTTAACTGAATCACTAAAGCATATCTGAATAAAGCAATTTGTTTAAACTCTCCAACGTCTGAAACACCAGACATTCTTCATGGCTATTATCCTGCTTCCCTTTTTCAAATCTAGGAAAAGTGTGAAAATTTGCTCATTGAACAGTGAGTTCTCAACTGTAAGTTGGTAATAACAAAGAGTTTGAAACAAACAAACAAAAAAACCCCTGAAGCCTGCCCTTTGATCTGCTTGCAGAGTTTGACAAGAAGCCTGGTCTTTCAGAATAGGTTAGTGACACAAAAGCAGGTTTCAGTTAAGCAACACCGAGCCGCAGCGCGACTTCACTCTGTTCTCAGTTCATTTAAATAAATGAATGCCAGGCCTCAGGACCTCTTAACAAATATTTCCAATATGTGCACAAAAGCTGAAGTAACAGGAAGTGGAGACTCCAGTTCCTCGGCCAGCTGATATTTCACTGCAGCTAAACCACGCTCGCTGCTGTCAGGACTGTTTTCATTAAAACTCTCCCTCTTGATTGTGGCTCGGCTTGGAAAAACAAAAAGACTTTTTCCTCCTTACTCATTTCCTACTGTAACAGAGCTTTTGAAAAGTTTCCCGGTTACGACTTGTTTCCAAACGTCTTGCTTTGCTTACACTTAAAAAAATGTGGCTGGAAGGGAGGGGGGCTGACTCGCAAGCCTCGGTGACTCTATCCACATACAAGGAAATGGTGTTTAGAAAGCCACAAGATGGCCTATGGATCCCACAGCCCTTAGAAGCAGTCTTGGCCTCTGCACTTTTTCTCATCAGCTCTGCCACACCAAGATGGGGGAAAGAGGGCAGAAGAGACAGTAGGACTTAAAAAAAAAAAAAATCTAGTAAAGAATCCAGAAATAATTGGGGAGAAAGTGAAGTTGAAGCATACAATTAAGAAGAAAAGCAAACTTAAACTAAGTTTCCCGATCAAAAGATCTCTGGAAAAGCCAAGGAAATCCAACTGAACACCCAAACCCCGAAATCCTGGGTGCCCCCGTCTGCCACGGAGGAACCCCTTAAGGCAGCACTTCAACAGTCACACCGGGAGCAGACTGAAGGGATTCTCCTCATCGAACCTTCTCTCTGCTTGCTTTAAGCCATTTCTGATGTTTTTGCGGGCTGAGCCCAGGTTTGTTGTCACAAACCTGTCTGACCAAACCCCGGGCTCTGGAAGCCAGTGGAAAGTGCCTTCGCTTTAAGGCCACCTGGGGCGATTTCCACAGCCATCTCCAAGGCAGACAGGCACAGAGCCGAGGCCGGCCCGCGATCCCTGGGGAGTGCTCACGCGACCCACAGGGAAGGCGCCCTCCGACCCAGGTGGCCTCGACCGCGAGGAGGCAGGGCCGCGGGGGCTCGCGCCGAGAGGGAGGAGCCCGGAGGCGAGCGAGGAGCTTTTGTTCTAGAGTTCCTCGGCCCCAACTGAAACCGGCCTGCAAACTTTTTTTTTTTTTTCAGTCAGTAACCGCGACCCGAGGCGCTCCAGGGCTCTGGGTCACTCGCCGCTGGAGCCCAGAAACGAGGCCGTGACTCCCGCCCCCGGCGCGAACACAGCTGGGTAGGAAAACCTCAAAAGGGAAAGCAACCCGGGCCACCTCGGCACTTTCAGCTCCCCGACACGGGCCCTGAAGCAGTCGCCAAGTTTCCCCTCCACCACGTCACCTTTCATTGTTTCCGTGAGTCGGCGCGGCGGGGGTCCCCACGGATCCAGCCCGCCGGTCCCGCTCGGTCCCCCCAGCCGCGGGGCGGGGGTGGGGTACCGGAGAGCGCCGAGGGGCGCTGCGGGGGAGCCACCTGGGAGGGAGAGTTGGCCAGGGTGGGGTGGGGGGAGGCGAACCAGGGCAGCCCCCGCCCGAGCCCGAACAATGGGGCTGGTCGCCCCCGGCGGAAGCCCGGCTCGGCGTTCGACGCGCTGGAACCCGCGTCAGAAACTGACACCCCCACCCCCACCCCGGGGTAGCGCGCCCAGCCGCCCCGGAAGGCTCTGGACCTGTCATCCCAGCAGAGTCCAGGCTGGCGCGGCTCTTCCCTCGCGCGTCTTCTCACAGAGCCAAGAGAAACGTCCCAGTTCTCCCCGTGGCCCTCAGGGAGAAAGGGAAGTCCTACTCCCAACTCCTCCCCGCCCCGCCGTGACCCGGCCTTTCACGTGTGATTTCTCTGTCCTGCCGGGAGAGCCTGGGGGGTGGGGGGACAGAGACGCGCCGCGTGTTTCAAAGTCCCGCACGGAAACCACAGGGCAACAGGGGATTCCCCCCTACACACGCGAGAAACGCAGCCGCCGGGACGGTGCGTGCGTGCGTGTGTGTGTGTCTGTGTGTGCGCGCGCGGGGCGGCCGCACCACAACTCGGCTGTTCCGTGGGAGCCGCGCTCGCCGTCCGCGTCTGAAAGAATGTGGAGTCCCACACGCGAGGGAGCTCCCGGGCATGCGCAGCAGCGCCCCCACCCCCGCGATTAACTTCTGTTTTGATCCACTCCACATAAATCACAACAGAAAAGCCAGCCCCGGCCCTCCACGGAACACTCGGGGGACCTCCCAGGCTGGGACTCCGAAGTGAACTTCAAAAGGGACTTCTCAGTCCTTGACCTTTCTAGGTGGTGGTTTTTTTTTTTTTCTGTGTATTTTGCAATTTTTTTTTTAAACCAGACGGCAAGTTTTAGTTGTAAAGCTTCCAGAACGCTTGGTGGAAACAATGACAGCCTCGCTCTTCTGCACTTACAACCAAGCCTGCTTGTCACACTTGGACGCGTTCTGACTGAACGCCGCTGGAACTGGCTGGCCCTCCGTCCTAACTCTTCATCTTGCCCCAAATCCATCGTGGGAAAACTTTGAGAGACTGGGAATTTTTTTTTTCTTTCTTAAAGTCTAGTTTTCCAAAGCTGTTTACAGCAGAGGGCTTTGTGAGGGGCCGGGACCACATTCCTTTAATTGTGAAAACACCACATGCCCCAAGAAAAGTGCCCAGGCCCAGCTGGGAGTGGGGGCTCTCGGAGCAGAACTTTCTTTCAGACAAAGACGCGCCACGGTTCCGCTGCACGCCCCGCCCTGGAAAAGCGAGGCGCAGGGTCCCCCGGCCCGGACCCCCACAGCCCCCGCCGGAGAGACAGGACGAGGAGCCACGCGGCGGCTGGGCCGAGCGTGGGGTGTGGGAGCAGACAATGAAACTTGGAGGCGCACAAACAAGGCGCTGAGCGTGTTTCTTGACAACGCGCCAGCAGCGTGGAGAGAGGCTCGTCTCCCCCACAGCAGCCCCCGCGTGTTGTGTCTAGAAGGAAAACAGCAACTGCCATTTCAGACGCTGCCCCAACAAAGCCCACGGCCGCCTTTCCAAGTCCCAAAGTGCCCCAGGGCAGAAAAAAGTCCACCAAGTCACTCTTGGCGGCGGGGTCAGCACGTTGCCCCGGCTCTCGCGCTGCGGCGCGCACGGCCCCGCGGCCGCCTTACCTTTCTTACTTTTCATTCTGAAGCTCCTCTCCCAGCGCCAGGCAATGCTGGGGTCTCGAGGGGCCGAGGGCCGGAGCACCGGGGGCCAAGCGAGAGTCCTGATTCCCGGCCGATTCTCCCGTAACTTGTAGGACGTGCTCCAACCGTCGCTGCTAAACAAGGGGCTCGGATCCCAGGCGCCCGCTCCTCGGGTGGAATTCAAGTGACACTTGGGCTTCCTCCTGCCGGGAGATTCTGGCAGCCGGCCGGGGGCTCTCCCTCACCCAACTCGCTCCCCTCCCTACTCCGCTCCTTTGTTCCCTGCTCCTGCTCGGCGCACCTCGGCGCTGTCAGAGTGAGAAAGGCGAGGAGGGAAGGTACAGGAGGTCCTGCCTCCGCCCCCAGCCGCCCGCCCCGTCCCCCGCCCGCCTCGCCGCTCCTCCGCCCCTCCCCCGCCCCTTCCAGCCGGGGTGGACCGGATCGCGCCCCGGCCGCTGTCACCCGTCCCTCTCGGCGGCGGCCGACCTCAGAAACTCGATTCTTCCTGCCTGCTGCGCGCTCGCCGCCCGCATCCCTCGCGGGGCGGCGGAGTCACCAGCCGAGCGCCCCCGGGCTTTCCCTTTGGGCCTTTCTTCCCGGAGCAGGCGAGGGGTGCTTTTGGTTAAGAAACTGCCAGCCGATGGGAAAAAAAAGGACTCCCCTCCTCGCACCCAGAGAAGACTAGGCTGCCCCTCTCGTTTTTGACAGCTACCCCAAACTGCACAGTCCCTGCCCGAGCCGCTTCTGACCCAAGGGGCGGGGCACGGCAGGAAAAGTATGTGGGACAAGCACCAACTTCTTCCAGAATGCGCGGCTGCCATGGACACGCGGGCGCGCCGCGTCGCGCCCTTCCCCCGTGGCTCTTCCTCCTGCAGCGACAGTGGGAGTGGGTGGGGGTGGGAGTGAGGGGGGGATGAGACGCAGACACTCTAGGCGAATGTCTGTTCCCCAGGGCTAAAGCTGCGAGTTCCGGATTGGATTGCAGGGCGGTTTCGAAATCGAACACGTTGCGGACAGGCACTTGTCATGCTCACATGCTCTTTAAACGTCCCTGCCTGGGGACTGCCCGGGCGCGAGCCTGCCCCGCCGAGACGCAGCCTGACACCCTCACTCCACCACCGCCGGACCCTTCCCAAGAGAGGGGCGACCACGCCGTGGCTGCTCGTCTGCTTCGGTAAACAGAGTCTACTTTTAGGACCTATGCCCAGCGAGGGAACCCCTCCTCCCCCTGTATTTCAAACAGAAACTAGCCATTAAGTAAACACATGTTCCTGGTGGTTTATTTTGGTTGAGAGTTAGGCGGACTCCAACAGGAGTTCCTTGATGAAATGCCCCCTTTTTAAACCGCCAGATGCTTGCTGTTGGCTGGTTTCAACCAACGCAAGCCCCCTCCTCTGCGTCTAGTTGTTGGCGTGGGTTTGTCCCGTTGTTTTTGAGCAAATGAACTGTCATATGCCACAGTAAGACGATCCCCATCGCTTAAGAAAAAAAAAAAAAAAGGAAAAAATTCCAAACGTAAATAAGCCTCGTGGAGACGTCAGCGCCGGCTCTGCCCCCGGTGTGGACTCTGCGCTGTTTTTGTTTTGTGACCTCGGTGGAGATGCCGGCAGGAGAAAAACCCGTGGAAATAAGGTTAAACCCAAGGAGGAGGAGGAGGACTAAGGCGGCCAAAGCATGACTAACCAGACTTTAGAGCCTCTGTTTTCGGATTACGCTGAAAATTAGAGCCAGCCTCCCCCGCCCCAAGAGTGCGTGCGTTCTGGCCAGAGTTTTAAAAAGCCTGGGGTGGGTTTTCCAACTACGGGACTTAAAACGAATCAACAAGGGGGAAAAGCGTCATTCTCAGAAGGCAACCACCTTGTGATTTTTGTTTCTTCTGCGGCACAGAAGGGAGCCCACATCTGAAACAGCACAGGGGGATGGGAGAGGGGGGTACTTGGTCCTGGGGGAGAAACCACCAGGCTGGAAGCTGCCCTGCAACCGCCTGCAGCGCAGTTCCGTCCCCCCCGCCTGGCCGGGGATGAATCAGCTGCTGCGCCCGCTGCCGGACAGATGTGGCGCGGGGAGGGGGCCGCGCCCCGCCGCCCGTTAGAGGGCCGCCCGTCCTTTCATTTGAAGGGTTGTTTGTGGCTGGGATTGGTGGCTCACATCCGCTGGGGAGCCGGGAGAGGAGGGAGCAGAGACGCTGGGAGGAGGAGCCCAGGCGGCCGCCGCGGCGCTCGGCGGCCTGAGTGGCAGCAGCCCCGTCTGGAAGCGGGCGGTTACTGCGGAGACGCTTTGTTTGCTAACTTCGAAAGCGGTGAGAAGCCGTCCGCACCGCACGCCTCGGTCGGCTGGGCCCTGCCCCCCGCCTGCTTTCGGCTGCCCGAGACCTAAACGTTTCCTTCTTCCTCGTGGTTATCCTTGGCCACGCGGTGGCTCTCATTATGTACACAAAGGTAGCTTTTCTTTCGGCTCTAAGTGAACTTGGCTAATTACCGCGATTCTCAGGCAACCGAGAGTTGGAGCGAGTTTACGGCATGAAAACAAACGTTACAGGGGGGAACGGAGAGGGGTGGAGGGAATTTAAAGCCTCTTTCAAATTAAGAGGAGGAAAAAAAGTGGAGACTTAAAATTCGCCTTGGCTAGAGCACCAGCTTTATCCACGCCGTACACACCTTTTGCTGGAGTAAATCATACGCAAGCAGTTGCTGAAGTTGGCGAGATGCTCCCAAGAGGAACACCGCCACAGTCTCGTGCTGCCAAGGCCTTATAGCCCCCCAGGTAGAGGGTTGACCCCACCCCTAAAGCTGACCCCAAACTTGTTAGGAGCTCTGGATTGGTGCCCTAGGGTCTTCGCAATGCAGGAAAGGAAAACAAACCCCCCAAAAGTGGACTCCGCATACCAGCAACTGCTTAGGATATTTTTTGTTTATTTTCCTCTCTAGAGGTGGAAAAACAAGTTTCCGTTCTGGCGCTGTCAGTCCCTTAATGTCTCAGGGGCGTCTCTGTAAAACAGATCCAGTGACTTTTAAGATTTCCCCCTAGTGCTAAAAATAAGATTATATGGATTCACATTTGCCTCGTATTATTTGCTGAATTCATATGCATGTTATTGCGCTGGGAAATTTCCTAAGGTTGAGGCGTCGCTTGGTGCTTTTGGAGGCTGCCTGATGAAAGTTCACCAGTCTTTCCAGGCACACACAGTTCTATTTGGTGTCTCATCTTCTCAATTCTTCCTCAAGGCCAACTCTGGGAAACAAACAAGTTAAAAAGCTGTGACTTTTCACAGCCTGCAAAACCTTCAGAAAGCAAAGCTCTAATAGGAACTTGGGAAGGCAAATACACCAGAAAAGTGTGTCAACACATGCAGTTACCATTAAAGCCTTTGATACCAGGTCCATCAAGTGTCTGGAGAATGCGTTCGTTTCATTCACCTACTCAAAGACTGAGTAAGCCTGATTTCTGTCAGTTCTGTGTCCTGGCTTGGAGGAATGACTGTTTGCAGTTATTGGATCCCTTTTGCTGCTAGGACCTGAGAGGCAGATGTTTTTATAAAATATGTACAATGCTGGGCTCCAGACCCTGTGCCAGGGGCCCCAAGTCTCACTTCTCAGGATAGAGGAGCTTGCTACTTAAGGAGGGCCTGGGGCTGTCCTGCAGCCATCTTGTGATTCTGTCAACCCCGGCAGGATAATTCTCCTCTTTGCTGCATGAATAATGTAACTGGGGCTACTACTTTTGTTTTGAATCAGTTTTCTCATAGTCTGTACTTCCCCACCCAGCCCTTCTTTCTCCTCTGTAGAAGTCTCACTTCTCTATATGGGTTTTGGAATCAAGAGGACAGAGCAAAGCGATTATTCAATGAGCAGAGCCTTTACCTCCTTCATTCTCAGCAACCGGTCTCTGCGTTGTCCTTTACAGTTGTGAAACACTGGTTGAAATGATCTCATTTGGTACACAAACTACTCGTGTAACTTTTTTTTTTTTTAAGTCAACATCCAAATTTAACAGAGCTGAAAGGCCTAAAGCAGGCATTGGGCATAAAGTTCTGGGTCTAAATCAGCTGATCACGAGGAAATCCTGTCGTGCTGCAAGGTCGGATGGCTGCAGGAGGGAGAGCCACTGGCCTGCATTAGGTCACCAAGGCCAGTGGGGCCTCCTGGGCTCCGTGGGTGTTACTCTCTGAAATCTGGTGTGTGTGTGTGTGTTTTTTAAGATCAATTAATTAATTTATTTGAAAGGCAGAATTACAGAGAGGCACTTCACTCCCCAAAATGGCTGCAGTGGCCAGAGCTGGGCCACTCCGAAGCCAGGAGCCAGGAACTTCTAGGTCTCCCATGAGGGTACAGGGGCCCAAGCACTTGGGCCGTCTTCCACAGTTTTCCGAGGCCATAGCAGAGAGCTGGATTGGAAGTGGAGTTCTGGGACTCAAACTGGCGCCCGTGTGGGATGCTGACGCTGCTGACTGGGGCTTTAACCTGCTGTGCCACAGCACCAGCCCCTGAAATCTGGTTTTATTAGAAGTCCTCTTCCAGCCTATCCACTGTTTGAACTTTTTTCTAGTCTCCTTTTATAATGTAAAAAGCAAAAACAAACAAAAATCCTGTCTTCAAAAAGCCAAGCAATAAAGAAGTACTGTATACAAAGTGAAATAATATGGAACACCTCCTACTTGCCCCCTTCTGTTCTTATTATGGGCATTTGCATACTATACACACAAATACAATGGATTTTTCTTTTCTGCTTGTTCTCAGGTTCCCTCTGCCTGAGATGGTCTTTTACCACTTGGTGTGCGTGGTATAGTTTCTCACTAGTCATGATTTAGCTAGTTTCTTAAGAGTCTTCTCTGAATTAGGAGCCTCCACTACCATCATCTAGCTCAGGAATATCCAACCACAGCCCTGTTGACATTTGGGGCTGGATAATTTTTTTGTTGTGGAGGCTGCCATGTACATTGTAAAATGTTAGTAGCAAATCCCTGAAAGATAACCAGTATATGGTAGTAGCTTTCTCCTTATTTGTGACAGATAAATGTCTACAGATATCACCAGCTTTACCCAAGGGGAAATCATAGATCTAGCTTAACCCTTGTATTTCTGCCATAGCACAAACATTGTTTTATTATTTTTATTTATTCTTTTTTTGAAGATTTATTTACTTGAAAGGCAAAGTTACAGAGAAGCGGAAGCAGAGAGAGGTCTTCCATCCTCTGGTTCACTCCGCAAATGGTCACCATGGCCAGAGGGGCGCCGATCCAATGCCAGTAGATAGGAGCTTCTTCTGGGTCTCCCATGTAAGTGCAGGGTCCCAAGGACTTGGGCCATCTTCTACTGCTTTCCCAGGCCATAGCAGAGAGCTGGATTGGAAGTGGAGCAGCTGGGACTCAAACTGGCACCCATATGGGATGCTGGCACTGCAGGCAGGGGCCCCAGTGCAAACTTTTTAAAAAATGTTTATTTTCATCTACTTGAAATAGCAATAGAGACAGAGAGGATCTTCCATCCACGGGTTTACTCCCCCAAAATACCTCCAACAGCCAGAGCTGGGCCAGGCCAAAGCTAGGATGCAGAACTGCATTTCTGAATCCCATGCGCATGGCAGGGCCCTAAGTGTGTGAACCATCATCTGCTGCCTCCCAGGATGCATTAGGAAGGAACTAAATCAGAAGCAGAGCAGTTGGGACTCAAACAGGCACAGCCATATGTGAAGTGGGCATTTTTTTTTTTTCTGACAGGCAGAGTGGACAGTGAGAGAGAGAGACAGAGAGAAAGGTCTTCCTTTTGCCGTTGGCTCACCCTCCAGTGGCGGTGCGCTGTCGCCGGCGCACCGCGCTGATCCGATGGCAGGAACCAGGTACTTGTCCTGGTCTCCCATGGGGTGCAGGGCCCAAGGACTTGGGCCATCCTCCACTGCCTTCCCGGGCCATAGCAGAGAGCTGGCCTGGAAGAGGGGCAACTGGGATAGAATTGGGCGCCCCAACCGGGACTAGAACCTGGTGTGCCAGTGCCGCAAGGCAGAGGATTAACCTATTGAGCCACAGCGCCGGCCGGAAGTGGGCATTTTAATAGTTGGCTTAAACTGCTGTTAAGCTAGCACCACAATTTGTAATTATTTTGTTTGACTGTTAACTTGTTTTTTCCCTTCTGACTTCTCACCAAAATGTAAGTTCATTATTAAACCCTTATGAACAAATCAGATACCCAAACAAATTATGCATTAAAATGACACCATAAAGAAACATTAATAAGAACTCAAACTTTGGATACAGCAGGCCAGGAATATGCAAATACTTTTCTTATTTTACCTCATTTACTCCTAAAATAGCCTCAAGAAGTACCTCTTTTTATTATCCCCATCTTACAGGTGAGGAAGTTGAGTTGGGGGAAGTGATTAATTCATCTTGCCAGTGTGATCCTTGGACCAATTATGTAAAAAAATAATGCTATTCTGCAATTTGTGGGGTTCTAAAAAAATGTTCCTACCGATGGGCATTCAGTTCTTTCCAATTTGTCACTAAGCATAAAAAGATAGCACAATTATATTCAAAATATTCAGTAACTGATAGAATTTGGGCACCACACGTTCTGAGGGGCTCCTGACTGTGCCCAGCAGCCTATGGTTGCCAGTCTTAGCAGGTTAGCTTGCATATAGATCTTTTGGGGCCTGTGTGACCACATTTATAAGAGCCTCTGGAAGGTGGAAGTTGAAAAGTGTGTGCTTTCAAAATTTTGATAGATACAGTGACTTGCCCTCCAAGTGGTCACATCTATTTAAAAAGCCCACTAGAGGGGCTGGTGTTGTGGCACAGTGAGTTAAGCCACTGCTTGCAATGCCAGCATGCCATAATGGAGTTCGAGTCCTGGCTTCTTTTGCCTCCCATCCAGTTCCCTGCTAATGTGCTGGGGAAAGTAACAGAAGACGGGCCTAATACCTGGGCCCCTGCCACCATGTGGGAGACCCGGATGAGTTATGGGCTCCTGGCTTCTCTGAACCTGTTCAGTCATTGCAGTTTGGGGAAAGAATTCGTGGATGGAATGTCTTTATCTCTGTCTCTCCTTCTTTATCACTCCGCCTTTCAAATAAATCAATAAATCTTTGAAAATAAATCAATAAAAAGTAAATAAAAAGCCCACCAAAAGTATGTAAGAAAATCTTTCACTGAGCCCTTACTAATAGTGTGTATTATCAATCGATATCTTATTTATCTATCTCTTAAGGAAATAAATGGCACTTTTTTCTAATTTTTAAAAAAAATTATTTATTTTAAAGGCAGAGTGAGAGAGAGAAGCAGAGGCTGAGAGAGAGAGAGAGGTCCTCCTTCTGCTGGTTCACCCCCAGATGGCTGCAAAAGATATGCTGATCAGGAGCCAGGAGCTTCTTCCAGGTCTCCCACGAGGGTGCAGGGGTTCAAACACTTGGACCATCTTCTACTGCTTTTCCCAGGCCATTAGCAGAGAGCTGGATCAGAGGTGGAGCAGCCAGGACTCCAATTGGCACCTGTAAGGGATGCCAGTGTCACAGGTGGCAGCTCTACCTGCTACTCCACAATGCCGTCCCTTTATCAGTCAATTTTATTTCTTTTTGTTTATTAATAATTTTCCATTGTACTGATTATTTTTCTCTTTAAAATAAGTAAGAACCTGGTTGTTTATTGTTATTAATTTAAAACTCATATGACGAAAAGCTGAAAGCAGTGAAATATTGTTTTAAATGCATAATGTAAGGGGTCCTGGTTTTTAAAAATATATAGAGTAAGTACCATATTTATGCAATAGTAAGCCCTTCAGAATACTGAACTACCTTTTATCTAATTTCTTCTCTCTCCATCCAAGAGCTAATCCATTCGCATGTTTCCATTTATCATCATTATTTTTCCCACAGCAGTAGAGGAGCCATTTATAATAGCAATAAAACGATGAAATATCTAGGAATAAAATTAACAAGAAATATGTGCAAGTTTTATGAAGAAAACTTTAAAACCCCACTGAGAGACATAAAGGAAGACTTCATTGAAATAAAAGGCACCTTTTTCTTTCTAGCAAGATTCAGTAGTGAAGCTATGTAGATGCTGAGTCTCCCTAAGTCAGTCTTTTAGTTCAAAGCACTTTCCATTGAAATACCAACAGTACTTTTTTTCTTTTAAAGAAATTGGCAAAGCAATGCCACAGTTCATTGAAATTAAGCATCACCCAATAGCCAGAGAAAATTTGTTAAAGATTACTTTATTTTATTTGAAAGGCACGATTGCAGAAAGAGAGAGAGAGAGAGAGACAGAGACAGAGAGAGAGAGACAGAAAGATCTTCCATCTGCTGGTTCACTCCCCAAATGGCCACATTGGCTGGATCCAGGCCAAACAAAACCAGGAGCCTGGAACTTCTTCTGGGTTTCCCATGTGGGTTTAGGGACCCAAGCGCTTGAGCCATCCTCCACTACTTTCCCAGGCACATTAGCAGGGAGCTAGATCAGACATGGAGCAGCCGGTACTTGAACCAGCACCTGTATTGGATACCAGCACTGCAGGTGGTGGCTTAACTCATTATACCACAGTGCCAGCCCCACCAGAGAAATTCTTAAAGATAAGAATTGAGAGCAGGGGAAGGTAGGGGAAATCCTTCCAAATATTTTGAGTTTTTTTTTTTTTTTCGGGCTACTCAAAGATGATTTTATCATACACACACTGGGACTGACGGAAAAGTGTAGATGTAACAGGGGGCCATTGCGCTGGTTAGCAATTGACCCCCATTCCAATGGCCATGAATGTGCCAAATGTGCCACCACTCTGCATCATGGTTTTCCAAATCCTGCCCATCAGTTTAAGACCCCACATTCCAATCCTGAGACAGGAAAAGGTGCCAAAAAGTACCCCAGCTGCCATGCCTAGGGCGCAGCCCATCACAAAGCCCATCTTCACATGATTAAAACAGCTTGGCTGGGATTGTCCATAGGGACCACAGCCACGGACATCTCACTCACTCACGGTCTTGGTTGCTCCTATTTTGAAGTTTATAATTACAATGTGAAAATTTTGTACTAGTAAATAAAAAAGGAAACAAAGGACAGTGAGGTAGATTAAAATATATTATGAAGATTTAGATTTTGACAAAGGTATCTTTTCATACCAGGGGAAAATCGACTACTCTTTATTAAAAATCAAGCTGGGGGCAAGTGTTTGGCAGAGCAGTTAAGATGCCACTTGGGTTCCAGGTCCCCTCCTGATCCCAGTTTTCTGCTCATGTGCACCCTAAGAAGCAGCAGGTGAAAGCTCAAGTACTTGGGTTTTTGCCAATCATATGAGTGGCCTGGACTGAATTCCAGGCTCCTGGCTTCATCCGGTTCCTCACTGTTTTTGGAATTTGCATAGTGTACGAGAGGACTGGAGCTCTTTCTGACTCTATGCCTTTCAAATAAATAAATATGCACCTATGTTTATTTCATTTTAATTTTAAAAAAGAATTATTTATTTATTCAAAAGGCAGAGTTACAGAGAGGCAGAGACAGAGAGAGAGAGAGAAAGAGAGAGAGAGGTCTTCCATCTGCTGGTTCACTCCCTAAATGGCCACAATGGCCAGAGCTGTGCCGATCCAAAGCCAGGAGCCAGAAGCTTCTTCCGGGTCTCCCACATGGGTGCAGGGGCCCAAGCAGTAGCTTTCCCAGGTCATAGCTGAGAGCTGGATCAGAAGTGGAGCAGCTGGAACTCAAACAGATGCCCATATGGGATGCTGACACTGCAGACTAGTGCGTTAACCTCCTGCACCACAGTACCAGCCCCGCTATGTTTATTTTAGAATAGTGGTTTTCAAACCAGGGTGTGTATAGCAATGTCTAGAGGTACTTGTGATCACAACTGCAGAGGAGGGATGGTATAGGCATCTGGTCGACAGAGGTGAAGGATGCTACTCTCTGTTTTATCATACACAGGACACTCCTCACAGCCCAAGTTCTGTCCAGAATGTCAGTACTGCCCCAGGGTAAGATACCTGCTCTAGAAGAAGGCATATATATGATATACATATATATGATATTATACTGAGAATGCTTTTGTAACCATAGCACAAAATCAAAGAATGATGAGATAAAAATGTTTATAGACATTTAAAAACAGTTTTGAACATATCTAAGGAAAAATTCCATGAAATTTTTTAAAGCAAAGAAATTGAGAAAAATAATTGCAGCACAAGCATAAGACCATTGGATTCTAATATATGAAGAGCTCATATAGACCATAGAAGAGATGAATGTTTTTCAAAAGAAGACTTATTTATTTAGGAAGCAGAGTAGGGGAGAGAGAGTATGTGAGCTTCTATCCACTGATTCATTCCCCAAATGACTGAAACAGTCAACGATGGGCCAGGCTGAAGCCAGGAACCAGGAACTCCACCCTGATCTCCCACATGGGTGACAAGAACTCAAGTACTTGAGCCATCATCCACTGCTCCCCAGGTGCTTTACCAGGGAGCTGGATCAGGAGTGAAGCAAGGGGCCGGCACTGTGGCGCAGCAGGTTAAAGCCCTGGCCTGAAGCACCAGCATCCCATATGGGCGCTGGTTCTAGTCTTGGCTGCTCCTCTTCTGATCCAGCTCTCTGCTATGGCCTGGGAAAACAGTATAAGATGGCCAAAGTCCTTGGGCCCCTGCACCCACATAGGAGACCTGGAAGAAGCTCCTGGCTCCTGGCTTTGGATCAGCTCAGTTCTGGCCTTTGTGGCCATCTGGGGAGTGAACCAACAGATGGAAGACCTCTCTGTCTCTACCTCTTTCTGTAACTCTTTCAAACAAATACACACACATACACACACACACAAAAGGAGTGATGCAACTAAACTGGCATTCAAGACCTTGGACAAAATCTGTGGATGAATAATTTTCTGATCCATTTTCTGATCCAGCTCTGCTAATAGCTTGGGAAAAGCAGCAGAAGATGGCCCATGTGTTTGGGCCCGTGACACCCTTGTGGGAAACCTGGATGAAGCTCTTGCCTTCAACCTAGCCCAGCTGTGGGTGTTGCAGCCATCTGGGGAGTGAACCAGCAGATGGAAGATCTCTCTCTCCCTCCTTCTCTCTCTGTAACTCTGACTTTCAAATAAATAAATCAGTCTTTAAAAAAAAAAGAATAGCTTCTGAAACATTTTTTTTTCAGTTTTGGTGTTGTGTAAATATCATATTCATAGGTTGTACCTGTACAAAATGAACTATGACATCACTAGGCTGTATAACCTTGTGGGACCATTATCATATATGCTGTCCATCATATATGCTGACAGAAATGTCACCATGTGGTTCATGACTATATGTGTTAAATTGGATTTTTGGAAAAAAAAAAGTATGGAACTGTACACTACTCTTATTACACCTTTTTGTGTAGAATTTTTATATGCTTATGTTTTTCTGTATTGGTCCTCAGGGAAATATTAACAACAGCTAACTTTGGGGTTGAAGTGAGGTTAACAAAGACAAGTGCCAAAACTTAGATTGGTGCAGGGATCTACACTATCATTTTTAATGACTAATTAATAATCCAAGGGAACTATGGAAATAATTTACATAACCAGTCCCCAAATACTGGGCATTTAAGTTTGCTTCTCATTTGTGTTAGAGATTTTCGTAAATTCTTCATAAAAACCAAAGCAGAGATCTAAAATAGGACAAATCTGTGTTCTTGTCCTTTAAATCTTACTCTCTAGTCTAATAAGCCACTGGTGGTTAATCATTAGCAAGTATGAATAACCCCAGTGACACTCTGGAAGCAAATTATTTATTGCCTTTTACAAGAAATAAGAACAAATGCTGTCAAGCCAGGTAGCAAATGGTTTTGGATTTGAATGACCAAGTCTCCAAAATTGGAAACATTAATCCTGATTTGATAGTTAATTTTTACAGAAGGTTTGGCCAAACATTTACAACATGTAAAGATAGGGCAAGATAGTTTTTCCCAAAATGAATTAATAAATACTCTTAATGTATGAGTAAAATCAGCACATACCTTGAAAAGCATGGAACATTTAAGTAAAAGCTTTCTATAGTCTAGAGGCATATTTATAAATGAGAACAATCTGTTATCTTCCAAAGTGTTCATCAGGCCCCCACAGGATGGCATCCAAAAGCCAAAACAACTCTTCCATTTTACCTTAAAAGGGAGGAAAATTTAATCATTTCCAAGCTACTTGAATAGACCTTATTTTTTAAACTTTGTTATATTTTCTCTGCGAAACTCATTTTGGAAGGTCTCTTCAGCAACATATTTATAGAGTAGGTTAGCAGGCTCCTCTTCAAGGGTGATATAAACATCTAAATCCATCCATACTTGAATCTCTCCTTCCTCTCATGATCGGCAACAGTCGACATACGCATCTGCTAGTCCTGAACCAATTTTATTTAAGAAAATGACTTCAGCTGGTACCTCACTATGGGCAAGCTCTTGTCATGATCTTGGACTTAGAAACTGATGAAGAGCTGGGAGACAGCCCCAACCAGAATGACCTCGTTGAGCAGGTGGCTGAGATGCTTTATGGATTGATTCATGCTCACTACATCCTCACCAACCGTGGCAATGCCTAGATGTTGGAAAAGTACAAGCAGGGAGACCTTGGCCACTGTTCTCATGTATACTGGGAGAACCAGCCAATGGTTCCTATTGGCCTTTTGGACATCCCAGGTGAGGCCATGGAGAAGCTCTACTGCCCCAAGTGCATGGATATGTACACACCATCCCACGGATGGTGCCTGTCAGCACTGGTTTCCCTCACATGCTCTTCACGGTTCATCCCAAGTACCAGCCCAAGCAACCTGCCAACCATTTTGTGCCCAGGCTCTACGGTTTCAAAATATATCAGATGGCCTTTCAGCTGCAGCTCCAAACCACCAGAAACTTCAAGATCCCAATCAAGATGATTTGCTGATTGCCACCTGACCTGTCCCTCAGTCTTTGACACCTCCATTCCTTTGCTACCACCCTTTCAGGAGTCATTATTGTGGTGGGAATATGAAATAAAATGGAAGAAAAGGCAAAACTAAGATGATTAAGGATGGGCGTTTGGCACAGTGGTTAAGCTACTGCTTGGGACACCCAGATTTAAGAGCGAGTGCCTGGGTTAGAGTTTGGCCCCACTCCTTACTCCAGCTTCCTGCTAATGGGCACTGGGAGTAGTTGGGTCCCTGCCACCCATGTAGGAGACCTGGATTGAGTTCCTGGAATAAATTCCTTGCTCCTGGCTTTAACCTTGCTCAGCCTCAGCTATTGTAGGCATTTGAGGAGTGAACAACAGGTGAGATTTCTCTCTCAAATAAAATTTGAAAACAAAGAAACAAACAAAACTTAATAGTAGTAGCCAGGTGACATCAAAAAGAAGGATTTTGTCATTCCCAGAGTGTTTTTTGCTTGTTTTGCTTTTTTATTTTTTATTATAAAAACTTGAAATTTACCTAATAGATGGGAAATCCTAGTATAAGGAATTCACATGTCCCCATCAACAATGATCAACCATGACCACTGTTGTTTGACCTCACAGGCTTCCTTCTTACTCATGTTCTTCTGAAGCAAATCTCAGACATCGTAGCTTTTTTTGGAAACATGCTTATAGTTAATATTCTGGTTTGCCTAACTACTTACTCCCTGGTCTAAATAGTTTGCTCACTAATACTCCCAGAATGCTGATCTGTTGTCTTTTTCTTTCTATCTATTTCTGTCCTACTGTTAGACATTCTCTCCTTGCCAGAGAGAACAATTACATTTTTTCTTTGGTGGTACTCTCATGCCTATTTTAGAGGTAAACTGGCACTTACCAGAACATATGCCTTGATTTTGGGGAGGGTGTGTGTTCAGGAAACATGTTAACCAAACCAGTATCTCACTTAAAAATCTCTAGGAGCATTGTTTTACTTTATTGAGTATATGGGCAAAGTTACTTTTAAAAATGTAATTGCTATTTGTGTGTGTGTGTGTGTGTGTGTGTGTGTGTAGAACAGGAAAGGGAAGCTAAGGGAGTAAAGCCTAGAAGGGTTTGATACATCCATTATAAAGCTCTTTTCATTCAGAATCCAGATGTGACATAAAAGCACAAACAGCCTTATTCCAAGGTTTAAAAACATAACATTGTGACCATTAGGTTTGAAAAAAGTAGGAGCATCTCAGATAACTTATCTGAATGCCTGTCCTTACTTCATCCCTCCCTTCCTTCCTCTCTCTCTCATAGCTCTTTTTAAATTAAATTTTTATTTATTTATTTATATTCCATGTAAAAGACAGACATAGAGACAGACAGAGATCTTCTGCTGCTTTGCTTCCCAAATGCCAGCAACAGCTACTGCTGGTCCAGGCCAAAGCCAGAAGCCCAGAACTCAATCCAGGTCCCCTATGTGGGTGG